GCTTTTGTTACTTCTTAAACCATTCCCTCTGGCATTTTGCCAGGTACCATCCAGACTTGTTTACGAACTCTAACATTCCCCTGGCAAAATGCCAGGTGTTATTTTGACTTGTTTACAGACTCTAACAACTGAGGTATTCCAAATACCTAGAACTGTGCCTGGAAAGTAGTACACATTCATATTAATTGAATAAATAAATGGTTTTATACCTATGAGATCTCTAATTAATGACTAAATCATTCACACGTAGGAATAGGGACTAGGTCTGGTTTACTTCATCCCTGCATTTCCTAGAGACTAACAGAGGGCTTGGCATGATGTAGATACCCAACTACTAGTTAAATGAAGAATACTACATTTTTTAGCTAGGTGTGATGGCATACACCTGTAATCCCAGTGACTTGAGACTGTGCCAGAAGGATCACAAGTTCAAGGCCAGCCTGAGCAACTGAGCAAGTCCTTGTATCAAAATAAAAAATTTAAAAAGGGCCGGGTGAAATAGCACACACCTGTGATCACAGCAGCTCAGGAGGCTAAGGCAGGAGGATCATAAGTTCAAAGCTAGCTTCAGCAACTTAGCAAGACCCTGTCTCTAAATAAAAATACAAAAAAAAAAAAAAAAAAAAAAAGGGCTAGGGATGTGGCTCAGTGGCTAAGTGTCCCTGAGTTCAATCATTAGTATCAAAAAAAAAGGCTGGTAGATTACCCCTGGGTTCAATCCCCAATACCACCAAAAAAAAAAAGTATACTTTAAAAAAAAAATCAATCAGAAAATCCCAGCTTTTGGGAAATACAGGAGGGAGACCACAAAATCAAGGCCTGCCTGAGCAACTTAATGAGACACTGTTTCAAAATAAAAAATAAAAGGCTGGGCTGGGCATGGTGGCATGCACCTATAATCCCAACAACTGAGGAGGCCCAGGCAAGAGGATCACAAGGCCAGCAACTTAGTGAGGCCCTGTCTCAAAAAATAAAAAAAAGGCTGGGGATGTGACTCAGTGGTTAAGCACCCTTGGGTTCAATCCCCAGTACCAAAAAATAATAAATAATAAAGGGCTGGGGAGGTGGCTCAATGGTAAAGTACCTGAGTTCCACCTCTTGAGGTGGGGGTGAGGTAGTGGGGTTAACAAGGATGAGACAGACTTATAATCCTGACATGGAAGTGCTCCATATAGTCTAGCAACTCAGTCAGAGGGTGCTGGCATCAAAGAGTCTATTTGAATTCTGGGTCCCCTATTTACTAGCTGTATAACTTAAGGCATATTTCTTTAACTTCTCTGTTTCAGTTTCCTCATCACTAAAACAGAAGCAATATCCACTTCATTAACATGAAGATTTCCTGAGATATTACCAACAAAGCTTATATAACATTCCATGGTCATTTACATGGTCCATGTACAGGCAAGTAATTATGATGCTAACATTTGTTAAGTGAGACAGGCAAGTTGTAGAACTATGTATGCAAGCCATGTCCAGCAGGGATAAAAGGTTGCCTGAGTCTATGTAACTAACAGAAAACTTATTGAGTGGTTACCTCTGGGAAATGAAGGAAAACATACTTCTACTTTTTAATATATACATTTTTTCTGATACATAAAAGCATAAAAGTTGCACATATTAAAAGCGTACCATGGGACTGGGGTTGTGGCTCAGTGGTAGAGCGCTTGCCTAGCACCTGTGAGGCACTGGGTTTGATTCTCAGCACCACATATAAATAAATTAATAAATAAAGGTCCATCGACAATTTTTAAAAATATTTTTTTAAAAAAGCATACCATGTCACATTTTGATACTTGTATGTAATGTGAAATGTTTAAATCATTTTAAACATATTATCTTTTACTATCATTTATGGTGAAAACGTTCAAAATCCTTTCTATATACACACATACTTTTTTTTTTTTTTTTGGTGCTACATCCCAGTCCTTTCTTTTTTCTGAGAATTGAACCCATGGACCCTTTACCACTGAGCCATATCTCCAGCTTTTTTATTTTGAGATAGGGTCTCACTAAGTTATCCAGCCTGACCTTGAACTTGCCGCCTTCCTAACTCAAGACTCCCAAGAAGCTGAGTTACAGGCCTATGCCACCATACCTGGGGGGCTTGCTCTCCCCAGGCCCTCTCCTCTCCCCACTATATATATATATATTTAGTTGTAAACGACAGAATACCTTTATTTTACTTATATTTATGTAATGCTGAGGATCGAACCCAATGCCTCACATATGCTAGGCAAGTGATCTACCACTGAGCTACAACCACAGCCCCCATATATATGTATTTTTAATGGAGGGATTATAAAAAATAGAAAGCTTAAATAAAGTAATGAAGTAAAATTAGAATAAATGCTTCTAAAATATAATTTAAGGTTAAATTAAAATATGAAGATTTCTACAATCTGAGTTCTCAAGGGAAAACAAATTAATCAACTGAAATATGACTATTACAATTACCATTAATCTAAATTAGTAAACTAAGATGAACCACCCAAAAAAAAGCAAGACTTTTTCAAAAATCTATAAAATAAGGAATTAAAGAGAAATTTTAATAACATTTCATCCTATCGATTTACACACAAATCTACTCTTTTCTTAATCCCATGAAAAGAAATTCAATATATTTCAAAAAGGAAAACAAATGTCATAAAAGACAATTGCTTTTGAAATGGAATAAAAGCAAACAAAATCAAAGACTAAGCAGTTACCTTTTACTGTCGGTTTCATGCAAAAGAATTCTGCAATAGTTTTGTTTTTTAAATCAGCAGAAGCTAGGAAATTCAAGTGTGCTTTTGACCAATGAGTTCAACTGCAGAGAAAAATTAAATCCCAAGATGAATTGTGAAGCAGACAATGATACAAAGCACTCAAAACACAGGAAATTCTCTCCTTTTGTGAACAGTAGCTGTAGCCACCCATTTACTACATTAATTTATAATAAAAACTGCAATTCATGCAAGCTAAATCTCATCCAATAGTCATAAGATTTGAAAAATAGGAAATAAACCTGCACTAAGAATAGCAAGAATACAAGATTTCCCAAAGCTAATGTTTTCCTAGCCTCTTTCAAGTGCTTAGTCACTTCTGTCTATTTACAAGGAAGACCATTTCACATCTTGAAAGAGGCAGAGAATTTAGATCACAGACTGTCATGTCACCTGAGCTGCCCTAGCCATTTGTTTCCATGCAACTCAAGAGAAAGCAGAAGCAGCAAGGCATACCTAGCACCCCAGATCAGAGACAGAAGCCACTGAGCTTTCTCTGTATTCTGCCTCACTCTGCAGTATCAAAGGTTTGTCAAGTGCTAAGTTTTCTTCCCTGGCATCAAATGCAAAAGGTGAGGAATAAATTGTCACCTGAAAACATCCTAGGTTTCCTCGGACAGCCCACCAGACATGCCTCCCTTCTCCTCTGCTGGAATAGAACCAGCAAGGTGATTCTTATGTCCACTTTGGGTGCTGGACATCTTACCTTAGGCAACTAATACAACCCAACATTTCAGGCTAACAGGCTTTGGAGTGCAAAGAGAGCAGAAGCCTTAAAATCTGATAACACTGTTTCCAGTTCCCCAAAGGCAAGAACAAACACTAAGGTTTTCATGAAAGGTTATTACAAGAGACTACCCTGGGCAAAGCAAATTTTTAAGTAGCTTCTATGCCAAGCACCGTATCTCAACATTCTACTCACACTCAAAGATGCTAGGCACAAAGGTCGATTATACATTCACTACATAAAGGAGGCTCTTGACAAAGACTAAGCATATTCTTTCCAAACATAACTCCAAGTAGTAAATTCTGGGTAAATGTGGTCAATCTCTGAAGCAGAACTTAGTCTACTTCCCTGAGAGTCATGAAGGGCTCTGACAACTAACTTGGATCATTCAGGATGAGGCTCTATTTCCTCCCAAGAACATAAATGCTATAAGAAACAGCTGGGCTGGGGTTGTGGCTCAGTGGTAGAGCGTTTGCCTGGCCTGTGTGAGGCACTGGGTTCGATCATCAGCACCACATAAAAATAAAGGTATTGTGTCCATCTGCAACTAAAAAAAAAAAAACCTGGGTGCGCACCTGTAATCCCTGCTCCTCTGGGGGATCTTCTGAACCCAAGAGGAGGTCAACCTGAGTAAGAGAGAACCAGATCTCTTTGAAAATAATAATAGGGCTGGGGGTGTGGTTCAATGGTAGAGCACTTGCCTAGCAGGCATGAGGCCCCGGGTTCAATTTCCTCCACCACAAAAATATTTAATATTTAATAATAAACATTTCTCAATTTCGGTATTCTCATTATTCCTAACACTCTCAGAAAAATACAAAGCTATCGGTTAAGTAAATAATGTTACCATCTTAATAAATAAAACAGGCAGAAATTAACCTCATCTGAATATACTGAGGCTCTAAGAGGATAATATGGTCAGAGTTTGTTAGTTAAGGATCCCAAGCCCTAACATTTAACCATTAAGGAACACTGCCACTCAAGGAATGCTACTAAATCCATTTACTGATCCGAACTAGTTGTATGCCACAAAACTGGGTGCAAAGAGCGTGGACTTGGGAGGAGGGAGCTGGTGTGAGAGGATACATCAGCACAACCAAGATTTTGTTGTTGGGTTGTTTTTTTTTTTTTTTTTTTCCTTCCATTAACGAATACAGCACATGTTCCCGGTCTCCATCCTCCCCACGGAACCCACGTGCCGGTCGCACAGCAGCTTCCTCACCACGTTCCCCTGCTTCTCCCAGGTCCCTGCAGCCTCCCCACGCCCTTCCCTCGGCCCGCCTGCGGGTGCTGCAGCCGAAGCCTCTCGCCCCCTCCCCAGCGACGGCCGCCCAGGCCCCCGCGCCGCCTTCGCGCGCCGCCCGCGCCTGTCCCGCGCGCTCCCGCCTCCGCCCGGCGGGGTCACCCCCGGGGCCTGCGCACGCCCTTCCCGCCGCACGCCCCAAGGTTCCCCCGCGACGCGGGCGCCGGGCAGGCCGCGCCCGCCGCGCCTGCCATGGTGGGCGCCTCACCGTCAGGCTGGGGAGCCGGGCCCGGCTGCGCCATGGCCAGGGACCGGCCTCGGGGAGCGGGGATGGGCGGGGAAGCGGCGTCCCGGGATGCCGCGGGCTCAGCTGGCGGAGGAGGCGTCGACCGAGCCGCCGCCGCCGCTGCCCAGGGAGGAACCGCTAAGGCTGGAGCCGCCGGCGCCGCCACAGCCGCGGGCAGAGACGGACCCGAGCGCCGACCTCCGCCTCCTCATCCTGACAGCGGGAAATAAGCAGTGCGCAGGCGCGGGGGGATGGGGCGGCACGTGACGTTGGCCTGAGGGGAGGGGAGGGGCTTCGGGAGGGTGGGGGTAGCGCGGGGAGGTTAGGCTCTGGAGTGGAGGGGAGGGGTCGATAGACACGGCACTGGAGGGAGGTTTAATACAGAGGAAGAAGTGAATTTGCAACTCCGGCGGGAAAGGCTCGGCCTCCGGGAGGGTCCGCTCCCAGCACTGAGGCAAAAAAGAAAAGGACGAGAAGAGACCGAATGGTGGAGAGTAAATCAATCCTCTATCTCCCTAACTGTGTGACCTTGGGAGAGTCACTTAATCTCTTGGAACATCCATCCTAATAACGGCTAAGAACAGTTTAAATAGGATAAAAAAAAAAAATTAGGAAAAACTGTTTCTCACAGAACTGGGGCCAGTCTTGTGTTGCAGAGGCTGGTTTACTTTCCATTAAGCAATAACTCTTTAGTTGCCAGGCACAGAAAGAGCTTGCTAGGGATACAGCCAGACATTGCCTGTACTCATGACAGGAAAAGAGAAATAATATACAGAAAGTACTGTTTTTATACCTGGGCCTGCCCTAGGCCCCATACTTCACAGGCTCCTCTCTACCCACCCCAGCTTACCCTAGAGTGAGTACTTAATAGAATCTGGCACATTAGGACCAAATACTGGGAACGTGTGACCCCAGAATTCCCTCCCCAAATGACTGAAGCTGTGGCCTCTTTCCCAAGTTCATTCTTTCTAGGGCAGAATCTGGGCATTCCCTAAAGTGTCAAAGGGCAGCTAAGTTTTGAGGAGGTGGCCTCAGCACTTGAATATTTAAGCTGTTATGTCCACAGATTCCTGGTGATGCAAGACTAAGGTAAAAACAAGAAGATATGTGAGCCATGGGCCAATAGTTCAGCCAGAGCTTATGCTACCCTCACCACCTCATTCTATTGCATAAAGCCCAGGAGTCCAGCAAATCTAAATTCAATGACACTTTTCAGGGTCATTAAAGATAGCATACTTGTCAAAATAGAAGAATAGACTATATTAAGGTTATCAGTTAACCAGTGGTTTGCAATATTAAATAATTTAGGCAGACATGTGACATCTATTTGATCTTTTGCCCAGGTCTTCCTAACATTAGGGGAGAGGAGCTTTATTCCGACTTTTTTTTTTTTTTTTTTTTTTTTTTTTTTTTTGAGTTTTTGAGCAGTTAACATCCTCACGGCTGGTGTACCTTAGAAATAGCAAGCAAGGCTGGGCACAGTGTCATATGCCTGTAACCGTGGCAACTCAGGAGGCTGAAACAGGAAGATTACAAGTTCAAAGCCAGCCTCTGCAACTTACCAAAGCCCTAAGTAACTTAATGAGACTCTGTCTCAAAATAAAAAGGCCTGGGGATATGGCTCAGTGTTTAAGTGCCCCTGGGTTCAATCCCCAACATCAAAAAAGAAAGAGCAAGCAGGGCCCTTTTCCACCACTACCCTTACATGACTTTCCTGAGTGAGCAAATCCATACTAAGCACAGAGACCTTTGGCCAGGATAAGCAGCCCCAGTAGTTGTGATGATTAACAGGACATAAGGGCCATAAAGATAACAGACACTAATGCCCTCTACAGGAGGGCTTCTCTCAGTGAATGAGTTGCTCATTTATTGCCATTGATAATCAGGCTTGAAACCAGGCCCTTAAGATCAAGGTCATTCTGAACCGGTCAGGCATCTGATTTGGACACCCAGAATCCCCGCCCCCCCCCCCCGCCCCCAGCCCCGTGCCCTGGCACCGCCAAGGGTTGAAAAAGCAATTCTGAAATCAAATCAGAGTTACCTACATTTTTATATTTTTAGGTAAACCCTAAGATACAGCAATTCAACTCCTAAGTATATATGCTAGAGAAAACTAGTGTGTGCTCAAAGGCTTTATTAAGTATAAAAGAAGTGACTCTTGGATTCTGAAGAAAATTGAGAGATAAGACATGAAATAATGACATGTCAATTATATTGCATGTGTGCACCAGTAGACAAATGCAAGAATGTTAATAGGCCACTCAGAAAGCTGAGGCAGGAGGACCACAAGTTCAAGGACAGAGCAACTTGGCAAGACCCTTTCTCAAAACAAAAAAGTGAGAAAGACAAGAATAGGATCCTAATTAGAATAAATTATACTCTATGGATGTATAATATGTCAAAATACACTCTAGAGTCATGTACATCTAAAGAGAACAAAGGAAAAAAAAAAGGGAAAAGGACTGGGGATGAAGATCATTGGCAGGAAGCCCCTGGTTCAATCCCCAGTACCACCAAAAAAAAAAAAAAAAAAAAAGAATATTCATAGGAGCATGGTTCATGATACAATAAGTGACTCAAACATTCATCAACAATAATTTAAATTTTTTGAATTAAATATTCATTATATTGGATATTTAATGGAATACTCTATAGCAATAAAATGAGCAAACTAGAGCCACATAGTCAATATAGGCGAATCTCACAAATATAATTTTAAAAGAAATGATAAAATCATATAGCATGATTCTACTTATATAAAGTTCCAAAACAAGTAAACATAATGAGTGAATAGGAGATACGCTGTAAAGAGAGGAAGAGAACCAATATCACAGAATGAACTTAGTCATGACTGGTTCTGGCATGCTGTTAATAAGGATGCCTAAAAGCCTACCTTCTAGGAGGCTGGCTTTGTGATTTTCATTTTCTGATAATAGAGACTGAACCAGAGGAGATCTACCACTGAGCTACATCCCCAGTCCTTTTTATTTAGGGAGACAAGGGTCTCCCTAAATTGCTAAAGCTGGTCTTACACTTTCAATCCTCCTGCCTCAGCCTCCTGAGTCACTTGGATTACAGGCTTGCACCACTGTGTCCAGCTCCAATGTGAAATTTCTTTTTTTTTTTTTTTTTAGTTGTAGATGAACACAATACCTTTATTTATTTATTTTTTATATGGTGCTGAGGATCAAATCCAGTGCCTCACTTATGCTAGGCAAGTGCTCTACCGCTGAGCTACAACCCCAGCTCCCCAATGTGATATTTCTTAATTTGGGTCCATTTAATTGGCCCTCCATAACCATGGATTCCACATTTGCAAATTCAACCACCTGCATGTTGAAAGTATTTTGGAAAATATTGCATATGTACTGAACATATACAATTTTTCTCTTGTCATTATTCCCTAAACAATATAGCATAACAATTTACATATCATTTACACAGTGTTATGTATTATAAATAACCTAGAACAATTTAAAATATACGGGAGGATGTACCCAGGTTATATTGCAAACACTTATATAAGACATTATATAGAAGGGACTCTAGCATCCATGCGGTGGAGAGTGGGGGCTACATCTTGGAACCAATTCCCACGGATAGAGAAAGTTGACTAAATCCGAGGAGCACAAATTTTTATATTATTTAGGTGGAAAAAAAAACATTTAGTGATATTTGCCAGTTAGAAAACTAAAATGAGCAAATTTGATGGAACTTTTGGAAAGGACTCACTTTGTGTTTCATTAATAGATTCATACCATGTAGATTATAGGTGGTGATGCCTTGCATGCAGTTTGCCCTGATAGGGTCACATCAGCAGTGTTGATTGTGTTTGTTCTGGGCACCATTATTAGCAAGGTGACAATGACCAGCTGCAGTGAATGGAACCCCAGGGAATGCAGAATCTAAAAATTATTCTGTATAAAGAAATGACCTGGGCCATGAAGAGTTTCCTAAAATCGCTGGATTTGAGTAGGTACAATGCCCAGAGATCAGAAAAATAAGGTTCTGCCTTCCAGGGAATTAACTCTGGTTGCTACAAGAGTGCAAGCAGAGCCAGGCATGATAGTACACGTCTGTAATTCTAGTGATTTGGGAGGCTGAGGCAGGAGAATGAAAAGTTTGTGGCCAGCCTCAGCATTTAGCAAGGCCCTAAGCAACTTAGACCTGTCATCAAAAGCAAAAACAAAAAAATGGACTGGAGTTTTAGCTCCATGGTAAAATGCCCCTGGGTTCAATCACCAGTTCCATAAAAGTAATAAATAATAAAAATAATTAAGAATGCAAGCAGAGATGGCTGGTGATTCAGACATGCTAGACAAGGAATCCTTGCTATGATCAGGGTATTAGACTGGACTATTTTATTATCTTCAGCTCCCAAGTCTCCATAATATTAATGACAATAATTTTATAGCTCCCAAGTCTCCATAATACTAATGACAAGACTTTTATAGCTCCCAAGTCTCCAAAATACTAATGACAATAATTTTACGGTTTGTTTGTTTGTTTGTTTTTGGTACTAGAAATTGAATTCAGGAGCACTCTACCACTGAGCTAATATACCCAGCTTCTTAAAATTACTGTTATTTTTTATTTTGAGGCAGGGTCTCACTAAGTTGCCTGGGCTGACTGTGACCTGCTTCAGCCTCTTAAGTTGCTGGGATTATGGGAATGGGCTACCAGGCCTGGTGGTTTACTACATATTTTTGCAGCATTTAATTTTCTTAGGTGCTTTCCCACGAATATTATTTCATTTTACTCCTCACAACAACCCAAAGGGTAGCAATAAATACAAAATAGATAGCCCAAATTCTTCTTGAAAAATTCTACCCTGTAATTTCTGTTAAGTATAGATCAGGTGTTCCAACTTAGCACTCGGCTGATAGTATTCACCACTTTAAGTGTTCTCCCTCACACTTAGAGTCTTCAGAGTAGGATAGGAGCACCATACTTCCCTGGGCTTCAATAAGAAAAAAAAAATGAGACTGGATCTTGCTAAGTCCGTAGGGACTCACTAAATTGCTGAGGTTGTTCTTGAACTTTCAATTTTCCTGCCTCAGCCTCCCAAATAGCTGGATTACAAGTGTGTGCCACTTTGCCCAGCAATAAGGGACATTTGCAATGCAGGCTATGGGAATAGGGATCAGAATCAGACACTCTCCCCTAGAGAATTTGTCTATTCCCAGACATTTGGAGATTCATATAAA